CTGGAAAGCAGGCCCGGTTCAGGCCGTGCTATGGCTGGAGGTGGTCCTTCGCCGTGGCGGGCTTGTCGTGTGGTTAAGCTGATCGCGCACCGTCTACGCGACGTTGGAGAACGATTTCGTCTTGTTCTATCTGTGCGACTGGAATGGCAGTACAAGCCTTGGGAGCATTCGACTAGAATGCTGTGCAGTCTGTGGCAGCTTCCTCGTCTCAAGTCTTTGGCTGGCCCGAAACGGAAGAGCAGATCGCGGGCACATGACAACCCTTCAAACTGATCTCTACCGAGTCGAATCAACCGATCAAGACACCTGCATCCACCTCTTCACATTTGCTTCTCAAGTTGGTCACCGCTGGTCGCAGATTGACTCAATGATAGGGGGCGTGGTCCCCTCTAAGCCTGGCCATGATGTAGTAATTGGATTAAGGTAATTAGATCTCGCAATGGCAGAAATATAACAGATCCGAGGTTCCGTCATACCACTTAGAGGTGGTGCTGACCTCTCCCGTTGTATACAGAGTGCCACAACTGCAGATCGTCTTCTACGCGAGTTTCTAGATAAGCAAAAGCCCTTCCAAGCTCCGTCACGTGGCGGTACCCATAAGCTTGTGAGCAACGAGATCGTTCATCTGCGCCTACCTCCTTCTCCGAAGTTACCCAGCAATCGCCCCAGGCATCCCAGTTTGCTTCGAGAGATCTGACCCAGACGAATCTAGGTGGGTTAGAGCGGTGTACGAAGCAGACATCTATCTCCTGATTGAGTACAGGCCAGTAAGATGTTGATGGAAGCCCTCTAGATCACAGATAGGCTAGCATGAACCACATAATCATCGATTGATCAGTATACCCTACCCAAGAACCCTCAGAATATATGCCAGAGTTCCAGGAACCCCTTGGTATGAAGGCAAGAAGTGCTCATCCCGAACCTATTCAATACCATCCGATTTCATTTCTCAAAAGCGAGAGCAACGGCAGGAACGAACATCAATAATAACCAAGCATTCGAAAGAGAAGAGTTCCCTCTCCCCCAGGCCCAAAACTAAATAGCTATATTAGCAAAAGAGTTCGCCCCCCCGGTGGCGAATGGGGACTACATCTCTGGCGCACATGCTGGGACTCGAACACGGGACCTCTCAAAGCCTTCACCGCGTAGGCTCGTGGACTTGAACCACTCCACCACCCAGCCAGTTTTGACCTGACCCCCAAGGGGGCGCCTGCTGGCTGGTGACGGGAATGGATTTGAGGGGGTCTATATACCCTTCTCGTATATTTAGATGGAAGGCGGGGGGTGCAAGGTGGAAGGTGTGAGCCAAGCGGTCCGGTCTTGCGTGCCTGCCTGTACTGAGCCGCTCTCTCACGTGAATTCGGCGACGGGATGATGTATCCCAAGACCATGAATCATCTTCGAGCAAACAGGCTGACAGGTGATTCATCCATGGTAGGCTTTACTTCTCATTCTCGACCGTCGCCCTGCCATGACGTTTGCCTCTGGGTAAGATAGTCCCAAGGTCTTGGTAGGCAGATACCAGTCAAGCATTGAGTCATTAATATAAACATCAAGGAAGGCGTGCTTCTCACGACTTGGCTTGATTTGCTTGCCCCGGAACTCCTCAGATTAGATATAGATAGGCCAGTGAGATTCCGTCTCTAAACTCAATATCGTAGAAGACCAGGATATCATCACGTCAGAACTCCCCCCAACCTGCATTAGGTAGATTGTCCAAGGACTCTCAAAGCACCGCCTCAGGATTCTCCAAAAGTTGCAGCGTAAAGGTGGGAGGCTAATTTACTCAAGTAATCCAGATCAGAGCGGGAGCAGAAGCAGCCACAACTAATAGTACAATCTACAGTATCCAAAAGGGGTTATAACAGCCCCTCAAAAAGACAACACCAACATCAACCAAAACAACAAAAGAGTTCACCCCCTCGGTGGCGAATGGGGGCTACATCTCTGGCGCACAAGCTGGGACTCGAACTCGCTAAGCCTGTCGTCGAGTAAGGCTGGTTGGGGTTAAATAATTGTTGACCATTAACCACTCCACCACCCACGCCACAGCTTTGACCTGACCCCCGACCTAGAGGGCGCCTGGTGTGCTGGTGACGGGAATGGGATTGAGGAAGGCTTCCTATCTGGTGTGTATTCATGTCTCCTCAGGTGGTCGGAAAGGTATTCGGTGAAGAAGGGGAAGGTATGACTAAGGCGCCTGCTTGCCGTCCGGGTACGTGGTTGGTGGTGAGCATATGACTGAGGCTGAGCATAAATCACAGAGTTCTCTCGAGGAGAGAGACAAGCGGCTGTCATTGTGCCTTGCCTCACTCTCTGAAGGCTTCACATAATCCTCTCGACAGCGAACTTTGCCATGATCGTCGTCAGTAGAAGATCTCTCGACCCCATGTCAACGACCATCAACCCCTTGTTGGAGGCAGACTTACATAGTGACACAAAAGAGGCACGGCCATGATCATACTGGTGTCTATAAAACTTGGTGCTACCCGACGTATGTGTACAGCTTCGTTGGCGAATCCAATCTACAAACCATCTATAGCCACCCAATGAAAGAACACATTCCTGACGAGGCTACATTCGTGACTCGAAATCGTGATAAATACTGTGCGCCTCCATCGTACAAGGACACTTTCAGGTCATTCACCCGCTTCATTCCTGTCCCCTCCCGACGCCAGTCAAGCCCCCAGCAAGGCCTTGCATTCTCCTTCCCAATAAGTCATCTGTACTTTTCAGCTTCACGAGGCTCGCGCTCGCGCCCGCACTCTTACTTGCGCCCCTCGCGCGGCCATTCTTCTTCTTGCCATTCGCATCGGGTACAATGGACTCGCTCTCGTCCATGACCTGCGGCTCCTTGGTCAGGGTATTCTTGCGGTTCGCTCTCGTCATGCCAATCTCCAGCGGCCTGTCCTCGTCCCCGCTCGACTCGACGCGGTTATGGTGCCGTCCCTCGCTGTTGCCATTTGTGATGGGTCCACCGCCGACACGTCTGCGGCCGCGGCTCTCCTTTTCGCGTACAGCGTCGGCTGAGGCAAAGATCTCTGTGATCCATTCCGCTGACCTCTCAAAGTGCTTCCATGCTGGGGGGTACACGGTCGGGAACTGAAGGAAGCCGTGGGAGATGCCGGGGATCAGCATCACCTCGGCAACATCCTTGGGATTGAAGATGGGCTCGAGTCCATCGCCAAGGTCGGAGCGCTCGGATTGGGCTTGGTCGAACATGGACTCCTTCACCTTGCGCAGACGTGCTGAGAAGATGACGGTGTCGTCGACCAGAGGGTCTCGCTCGCCGGTCAGGAAGTAGACCTTAGGGAAGCGCGCAAGGAGGGAGTCGGGGGTAAGAACAGGAGAAAGGAGGTAGTCCTTGCTGAAGTCGGGTCGATTGTGAGGACCGATATAGAGAATGATCATGGCGCGCATCATCTCGGGCGTGAGCACGCGATCGTTGAAGTACGAAATCATGGACGACATGGCGAGGCGGGTTCGAAGAGGTTCCGAGTGATGGGATGCGCTCTGCTGACGCTTGATATCCGGAGCTGAGGATCCTGCGTTGGACATACTTTGTGGACCGCCATGCGAAAACTCGGGATGGGGACTAGCGAGCGCTTGTTGTGAGGCGATCTGGACCTCCTTGGCCGTCAGCTCTGTCGACTGCTTGTTGGAGTCCTCCTCGTCATCACTGTGGTGAGGTGTGCCGACGAGGTCGTTGTACTGCATGCTCTTTCGCCTGATGATCGATTGGTTCGTGCTTCTCAGCCTTCTATCCTTCATAAGTGACATTTGCTCGTCTGACATCCAGTTGCCAATGTTCATATCAAGTGCTGGGTAGAACAAGACCAATCCGTCGGGCAATGGCAGATCTCCTGTGCTCGAGTAGCGACGCATCGGCACTGACGTTCTCTCGACAATCATGAGAGTCGTTGCCGTGGCCAAGTTACCACCGGCGCTGTCACCTGTAAGCACAATTCGGGGTGTCTCTCTTCCAGACATGCCGATGCATCGTCCCTTGCTTCGAATAAGTGTCGTGTAGACGTCGAAGCACTCGTTCAGAGCGAAGGGGTACGGGAACTCGGGAGCCTTCTTGTAATCCAAGCTAAGAACTGGCATGCCGGTCTTGGACGCCCATGCAAATAGCTTATCATCGTTGCATCGAGGGTCCATGGCGACGAATCCACCACCAGGGATATCCAGGATGATTCTGCTGTGTCGCACGAGGTCCGTCAATGGTCCATCAAAGTAGAGCCAAGCCGAGACAGGCTCCTTATAATCGCTGCCAGAGGGTCGGGGAATGCGGATTGCGCGCGGCGGCCAGCGAGAGAAGCGAGGCCGCATGAGGCCCTGGAAGAATTTCAGGTACGGCGTCGTTCCTTTGTCCCAAGACACACGCAGATGCTCGACGGTCAACATGCCGCGCACCTTGCGCACCTTTTCGTCAGCCTTCTCGGCGGCAAACATGTAAAATACGGAGAAGACGATGCTGGCCAGGTCGCGAAGCCACTTTGCGCGGATCTTCATGGCGGTCCAAAAGCCGGCATCCAGAGCAGTCAAGATCCATGTTGCGCGGAAGTAGGTGGCGTCGTACATGTTGGACATGGGTTCGGGACTCGCAAGGCCGACTAGAGTGCTGAAGTGTCGGGCAGCGTAGAGGTAGATCATGGTGACCACGACGGTCTGCCATGTTGTGAGGCGCTTCGTTGTGAGCTTGGAGAAGAAGCGGATGACGGGAGGGCCGTGGGGGTGTCCTCTGCAAAAGATCTCATCAGCTTCTATCACGACAGCGTTGCACGAGATTCAAGATGTTGTTTGTTACCTGAAGATGTATGCCGACCAGAAAGCCAGCACCGCCAGGACCTGAAGGCGGCGCGACTTGACCGACGGCCGTCCCAGGACGTGGTCTATCATGGCGACTGGTGTATGCTATGATGAACAACAGAGCAGTGGACGAAGGAGGAGAAAGAAAAAGCAGTGGGTTGCAGATTCCGGCGCAAGGTCATGGGAATCTAGGCACCGAGGACAGCCGGAGGCGTGGCTGACCAAGCGAGCAGCGCAAGACCACGAGTTTGTGGCTGGGGGTAACAATGGATGGCGTTGGAAGTCGTCGACGGGACGGCGCAGCGCGAGTAATGCGATGGCTCCAGGGCTAAAAGGCCATGGCAATGCGTCCCAGGCAGCTCAGAGAAGCGCTTGGCGAGCACGGCGGGCGAAAAGGTGCAGCGACGGACGGCTCGACACCACGGACCGCCACCCGAAGTTGGACTTGGTTCGAAATAGAAGACCGGAGAGGTTCCGGTTGTTTGGGATCGTACACGTTTGGGGAATGGTTGTACGTGGTGGTACAAGGAGCTAGAAGCCGAAGATGATGAGCAGCCGAGTGCCCGGAATGAATGACGATATGTTTCGCGATGGATATGGCGGAGAGGAGTGGTTGAGAGTCGAACGAGAGCTGTCAAAGAAGACCACGATGGGAAGAGGAGCGGTAGCAGCGGCAGCAGCAGCGACAACAACGGCCGACGTTGCTCGTGAAAGAGGGTCCTTGACCAGGGTACCGGCGGCACATGTTTCAATGTGAAAGCGGTCGAGTGAGTGTGTACGCAGTACTCTGTGTGTGTCTCTCCGCGTGGGCTCGGTTCAATTGCTGGCTTCTGAGGTGAGATGGTGACGTTTGTTTGGGTTTGGGGGGGAAGGGCAGCTGACATGTGAAGAGGCCCAAACCCACCTGCAGTGTGGGTTTGGCCTGGGTGCTCGAGTCAACCCGCACGGGGTAGGACGGAGTACCTACCTAGAGCTCTAGCCTGTACTGTACGCAGCAAGTACGGAGAACCTTGGAGGGGCACGCGGGCAACTGCGGCCTCCGCCGCTAGTCCCCATCGAGATCCACCCCGGATCCGACACCGAGGATGTCCAATCACGCAACGCCGGTTGGCTCTTCTAGCGCTGTTCCCTTGCCGGTTCCACTGCTGGCAGCTACTGAACCGCTGTCCAACTCCACTGAAGATTGTTATCCTGCAGGGCCCTCAGTCAGGTCGTACTTGTAGTGTACTGTAAACCAGAAGAGTTACCTAAGCATCAAGGTAGACCCGCCTATCCCCGGATGCGGTAGAGTTTCCTCAGGAACGCACTCGACGTTCACATGACGAGTCACGAGCACCCGGAATCCCGACGCAATCCGGCATTGTGGATAACGCCGACACCCGACATGTCAGATTCAACATCGGTATTCCAAACGTGCGTAGACGATACTGCAGCCAGGAAGAATATCTATCCTTGGCTTCTTGCTATATGACAATGACCCGAGGCCATGTCAGTGCCGTACCTGCTGCTAATCTTCAACACAATGGGCGATTCTGCCCACGAGGCAAAAGATCGGCATCGGCTTCGCCACCAACCGATATTCGCGATCACGCCAGAATACCTTATGGTTGGTCAAAACTTCATGCATGAGATAACGGTGCAACGAGGCAGACTTGCTGGTTCACCGGCTCGTTACCGGTCAGGCAGGCATGCAGGCCACTATGGTCAGCTTAGCTACCTTACGTATCAGACAATAATAACCCCTCACTTGGAAAGCCTGATTACTTTGAGCAAGTAGATAACCAACCACCTTTGAGCCATCATGAACTTCAACTTGACCTGATTCAAAGTTAACCGGTTTCCTTGCGAGCAAATCAAGCCTTTCAGCTCCACCACCAGAGATCGATTGGAATAAGCAAACATCAATCACTCGACAAATCATGGAGCTGTTCCAATACGAACCCCTAAATCTCACTGAAAATTCATTCCGGCTACTCATGCTTCATCCCGGATCCACCAACGCGATATCATGCAACATCTTTGAAGCAAGTCTTGAATCCGACGACAGAATCCCCTACGAAGCTTTGTCATATGCTTGGGGCGACATAGAGCTCTCGGCCTCCATCACCGCCAACGGCAAGACCCTCTGCATAACGTATAACTTGTTCACTGCTTTGACATATCTCCGAGACGACCATGTGAGCAAAGTTATGTGGATCGATGCTATTTGTATCGACCAAAGCAACGTCGCTGAGCGAGGTCACCAGGTTGGACAGATGGCTAGCATTTACCGAGGCGCAGAACAGGTCATCATATGGCTCGGTACCCCCACACTTGAGACGAACCTCTTGCTGGGATGCCTCAAAGAGCTCCAACAACGCTGGATCCGTCAGAAAAGCCAAGACGACATTATCCAGGCACAAGAGCAATGGTCAAAGATGCGACAGGAGTCGGAACTTGACCAGGCTGTCCTCATTGATCGGCAACAGAAAGGGCTTATTTGCCTCCTCAGTGAGACCTGGTTCACGAGGATATGGGTTTTGCAGGAAGTATCAAACGCACGGGCAGCTTCCATTTCTTGTGGAAGACGATCCGTTCAGGCTCACATGCTCAACATCGCTGCGAAGCTCGTTGGGGTTATCCCGGACGCCGGTTGCCAAGCTGTTCTGGATTTGCTTCCGGATTCATTGACTCAGAGATCTCCAAGAAAAAGCCTTCTCCTGACCTTGTTACAGAAGTTTCAAAATAGCAAGGCGAGCGACCCTCGGGATATGGTATACGCCCTACTAGCAATAGCCTCCGACGTATCGCAGACCGACTCAGGATCACTGCTATCGCCAGACTACTTCAAAACCGAAAAGCAGTTGGTGCGAGACCTCAAGACATACCTGTTCCTTGATTTGCGATATTGCGGATATGTTCCTGAGCAATCCATGGCATCCTTTCTTGAAGCGCTGCCTCAACAAACAGCGGCGATACTCGAGAACGTTGTGGCGGCGGGAATCACAAGCCACGTTCTCACGCTTCTTGAGAGGGGCCAAAAGTTTAATGTCAATAAGGCCGTTGTTAAGAAAGTAAGGAATCACGAAGGTTCGAGGACTACAAAGGCTCTCTCTCATCTAGCTCAGATTGAGCACCAAAACTTCCAGTTCGTCCTAGAAGGCGTCGAGGCTTCATTTCAATTTTGCGATGTTGCAACTGCGCAACGTCTTTTGGGCCAGTTTGGAGATAGCATGGTGATCAATCGACATCTTACCGAAGCCTTGCGACAAAGATACGACAGGAATCAAATGCTCATGCTGCTGACCGCATGGAATAGGTCCACTATTCCATTAACACAAGAAGGATTCTCTACTTTAGTAGGGTTTATCGATCCGACGTCTTTGAAAATGCTTCTCAGTAATCACATACAAGTCTTTCAAGTGACGGACGAGGTTCTTGAAATGGCATCCCGCAATCCGGAAGAGGGCAAGATCATCCCGATGCTCCTCGATTTGATCGGCGATCGAACGGAATTTGAAATGAGTGGGCTGCTGTGGTTGCTCCGATTCTTGAGCAAAATGAAGTTGATGTTGCTGCTTGTATGGAATTTTAAAAAAGTCAGTATTGCTGCTTTGGGGCCCCCTCCTGATGAGAGTGTCCGCTGGTCCACGGAACTGGTATCCGGCTTAGGCTCATTCGCCAACTGGAACAACATTGGATACATCAGAGAAAACACGAATTATCGCAAGCGAGTTGATGTTGCGGTGATCAGAGTGGAGGCGGAACTCACCAATGGGTTGTGTATGGATGCCACCCTTATCTGGGACACTTTATATCCACGCAAGCAAGAGGGCGAGAAGGAACCCGTTCCAAGATCACTGGCAATTGGTCCGGAACATCCACGGCGCCGAAATCTCGAAAGCAAGACCTCAGGAAAGAACCTAGAGGTACTGTTTACTATTCGAGATGAAAGCTGACAAAGTCTTTTGTAGAGGCTTCATTTCCAGCGACCTTCCGCATTGTCAGCCCTTAGCACTAGGATTCTACACTCTTAGAGAGGCCCGCTGGATGGCGTTTGGCTTCAGCAATTCACCACTGCAATTTCGGAACAGCGCGAGATTCCACTGCCTGGAGGCTTTCATACGATTGGTGATTCGCCTGCACGAATCATGGCCACAATGCGGGCCAGGCCACAGGAGGCAGATTCATTGGCGAAGTGTTTCTAAAGGCAACTCACCCAACACGTATCGCCCGGGTATATATTATGGCTGTTCCTGCTTCTCTGTACTCCTTACTCCACATCGCGGTGACCCAACCTGCACCAAGCAAATGGTTGAGTGAAACACTGGCCCATTAACAGTCAAATGTGTCAACCAAAATGCCGCTTCGCGAGACTGACCCAGACTTCAAGAGCGAGATCTTCGAAAGGGCAAAGGCGGCGTTCAGCGCAAAGTCTGGGGTTTACGAATATGAACTCCCGCTGCCAACAATCCTCGGTGAGCATGCGGAGCAGCCTCTGCCATGCCAAAAACCGGTCGAAGAGACCAATGCCATCAGCGCCCACATGTCGACGCGTATCCATGCCTATTACGAGCAGCTTGCTGCCGCCTACGATAAAACTGAGGACCCGCCAGCCAGTATTGGCATCAATCTCGAAATCCAACCGCGAAACTTTGAACCAGAGGCGCCAACATGGCACCATCGCAGGTATCACTCGCGTCGCCTGCAACTGCACAGCCCTGAGACATTGCCAAAATTTGCCCTTTGTGAACAAGTTGTTGATCAGGTCAAGGTCGTATGGCGGGTACGCCGAACAAGTCACAGACATACGCCCTCTGTGCCCCCTCGTGCCACTGCAGTGCCTCGTCCACCTGCCAGCCGTCCAGGAGTGGGAAGCAACATGGTTGTGGGAGCGGCCCATGCCCGCCTCTATACCGAGTAGGGTGATGCGTGAGCACTACACCTGGCCGTGGGAGGGTCCTTTGCGAGACGCCCGCCACGAGTTCGGCGCCTCCATCATGGACCAGAAGAAGAGCCTTTGCGGGAAAAGAATTCCTCCAGTCTGATCAAGGCCGCTCTGCGTTTTGGCCTTACTTCTCGCGCCCCAGGCATGACCAGACCGTGCCCCGGCCAATCCTGATCTATCCTGTAGAAAAAGACCTTGTGTCTATTGGCTTGTGCAAGCTCGGTACACAGCTAAGCTTATTCGACGTGCGTGCTGTGGTCACTCCAGGTCTATTCCCTAATCCTGACGCACCGACCGACCAGTAGTGGTCACAGATGCGGCGATTCCGGCTCAAGTTCCACGTCCTCCGTCCAGACGGGCGTTGGTACTTTGTCGACCCCAGAGGCGAGGATCCGCACGACTCTGTAACAAGGAGGGTACAAGATCTCCAACACAGAACACTACCCCCGCGAAACCAATACGGACGAGGAAATGGACCACGACGCCGAGTACGACAAAAAGCCTGAAGATAAGTACGGTTACACTCTATACATGTTCCGCGTCGAGCTCTGTAGGAAGCATATCGAGCCCCTGCTTGCGGCCTTTGCCAAGTCTTTGACTCGCGACAGTCAGCCGAGCCTAAAGGACGCTGAGATGTTCATGTATCTGTGGTGGTGCCCTAATGATGACAAATTCAAGGAGGAAATGGTATGCCAAGAAGAAAGGGCTACAAACGGGGTGTTGAATTCATTGCCGGGCGTAGTAGTAAGAGACAGCAGCAGGATAGCAATGTTGCTGCACCAACACTGCCGGTGGTGCAGTGGCAGGTTGGTGACTGGAGACCTAGCGAAGACATCACGAGTTTATTTGAATGCCTAGGACGGCAAGAGTGGCTCGATCTTCAGTGGGACGACTATAGATCTACGGCGGGACAAGACGTGCTGGGTGATAGCGAATCTTCGCCCATATAGTCGGGCGGGCAACGGGAGTCTCTGACGAGAGATTTAGAGAATAATCTTTGAGGGATGAACTAGTGATGGCAGCAGCGGAGACGGCGGGAACGTATGTACGCTATTCGTATTCTTGAGCATTCCGCACACAATCATATCAATAGATGCTTGAGATGAACAAGTTTGTTTGAGAGGCTACAGCCAAGAGAAAGTGGTTCAAGTTCGAGAGAGATAGCAAACCTCAGAGTAACCAAGTTGCAGTACTTAGAGATGCTATAGCAATTATCATCGCCCTGAATCTGGTATGTAGTGCCGCCGCAGACTGACTCGGTAGGCGACAGCTGGGTGGTGAAGTAGTCGACGGAAGACGTGATAGCCGGCTTGCCCGTGACGTCATAGCTGGATGTCCAGGCTTGGTGGATAGACTTGCTGGCCACAACGAGGCCATCAATGTAGGGCGACCCAGGCCGCAGCTGCAGCCTAGCTACAAGACATAGGTCACAGTCAGTGGGCTCAACAGCTCCCTCAGGAAAGGCGTTGATAAGTGAAAGACGGAAACTAACGCGCTAATGATTTGAATATACTAGCAAGGCCCATAATTAGCCACCAGGTCATTTTGAAGCTCGTTTATAAAGTAAAAATAAACTTGCCTCCAGTATCAGTGAAGAAAGCTGCTAATACAGCAACAGGTCCGCAGAAAGCATCGCTCTACGTGAGACACGTGAACTCGTAGATATACCGACGGCTAGTAGGGATCACAATAGTTAATACGTCAAGGTCATTCTCTACAGGAATAACAATGTCGCTGCCACACGCAAAACGAACCGAGTTCTCCCACGACTGGAGCGCCGAAGCGCATCCAGCAGTACATAGGCGGATCAACGTAGCAGGAGGATAACAGAAGTCACAGCGGAGGGCCGGCACAAGAGGATCACAAGAAACATCCGCCATGAGAGCCGCAGAACACTCCGCATCGAGATCCTCGGGAAGGCTGTCATCGTAGAGCATCTTGACAGCAGAGACCGCGCCAGGGCTAAGACTCAGGCTCAAAAGAGCAATAGGCGACTGCAAGAGTGATAAATAAGTCGGAGAGTGCCAATGACTGCAGAGCAACAGAGGTCACTCCTCACAATTGCTCAAGCCCGATGGAGAATTTGGTCCAAGGGCTTGCAGCTGATCCATCTCGTCGTCGTTACTTTTGAGATGAGATGAAACTCAGCCGTTCAATGTTAGAATAAAGGTGAAAGGAACGCGCTTCCAATATGTCAAGAATCATCAGTTTTGGCACCAACAACATCCTATAATATTTTTTACAGGGTAGCAGAGGGATTTAGGTACATGAAGCATGGCTACAATGCGGGCGAGGCAAAGGTCCAAAAGGCAGATTCACTGGCGAACCATTTCCAAGAGCGGCTCAGCCAATAACCATACGTGGCATGCTGTAAGACGAAACCCCTCTTCTCCTCAGCCTGATCGCCCTTAAGAGGAGAATCTCAAAGGTTACAAGCATTCTTTTCCCCAGACACCCCACTGCTTCCTTCTGATACTACCGTCTGCTTACCTGTCTAAAAGGGCGATGAGGATGGAGCCATTCCAGTACGAGCCCCTTGACCTGGGAATAAGGTCATTTCGACTCCTCATTCTTTACCCCGGAGATGACGACATCCGATGCGACATATTCCAGGCGGTTCTTGAGCCCGACGACATCATTCCATATGAGGCCCTCTCATACGCGTGGGGTGGGATCGACCGCACCGAGACCATCACTGCTAGTGGCAAATGGCTACCCGTCACAGAGAGATTATTCACAGCCCTGGTTCATCTTCGAACCAACGAGACGAGAATACTTTGGGTCGATGCGATATGCATCGACCAAGACAACATTGCGGAGCGAGGTCATCAGGTAGGACAGATGGCTGGGATATACAGGCAAGCAGAGCAGGTCCTCATCTGGTTAGGGCCCGGGACACCCGACACAGTACTTTTGATGCAGGGCTTGCGAGTTCTCCATCATGACTCTATACGTCAAAAGTCCCGGGACGATATAGCGTGGGCTAGAACTCGGTGGCAATGCCTTCAGATGGATAAAGGCTTCTCTGCGCTTGCAAGGGACTCATTTCCAAGAGGTTTGCTACATATGTTGCAGCAAGCATGGTTCACAAGAATATGGGTGTTGCAAGAAGTATCCTATGCCCGAGTGGCTTCAATCTGCTGCGGGGATTTCTCTGTTCCCGCATACATTTTCGTCTTGGCGACACAGCTCATCAAGAACGAGGACAACGCAATCTTCGAGCTCGGCGACCAGCGACAGACCCTCCTTGACCTCATGCCAAGGCCATCGAGCGAAAAGATTACGAGAAAGAAGAGTTTGCATACTCTGCTACAGAAGTTCTGTGAGAGTGAAGCAACGGATCCCCGCGACATGGTCTACGCACTCCTTGGCATTGCATCTGATACGCCGAAAGACGCGAACAACACTCCACTGGTACCTGACTACTTTAAGACCGAAACAACGCTCATCAGAGATCTACTGTGGTACCTATCCTGTGGGAATTTCGTCCAACACGAGATACTCGACACTGATTTACGACTACGTGCGTTTCTCAAGACGATACCAGCAGTGACTGATGCTAGCTTCAAAAGCTGTATAGTCAAAGGCAACCTAGATGGCATCAAGGAATTGCTTGCTAGGGGTCAGAGCTTTGAGATCACCCGGAAGGCCATTTCAGCATTAGGAAGCAGGGTAGGCATTGTTTTGACTGACCCCAGACTTCCGGACGACACACTGTGGGGCCTACTTCGGCTTCGGGATTCAAGTCTCACATTCAGCTCGGACGGTATTGTTGCCGCTTTGGATTGGTGTGATGACAGCGTGGTTCCTTGTGTATCAATCTATTACGAAGTAAGAATGGAAACTTCAGCCGTGGTAGCGGAGGCTTTGCGGACAAGAATTCAATGTTCGCCAGCGATTTGTAACGATATCACGCTACCTTAACGCCATTGTGGCATCGAATCGACGGAGAAAGGTCTTCTTACACTCTTGACCATCTTGTCGACAGACTGGCTTTCTCATATTGTCGGGGACCGACTTGATGAGTGCAAGATTACTCGAGCTACGGTGGAGGCAACTCTAAAGAACAGTGGTCATGGGCTCAACAACCTGCTCCATCTGCTGAGTCTGAGAGAACATGAACAGAGTTTCGCTTCATCGTTCGCTAAGTTGAAACCAGATGGTATAGTCTCGATATTGGCATTCTACAACGATGAAACTGTAGCTTTACTTCGTCCTCATCGCAACATTGTTGAACTTTATCTGGAATGGGGAGGCCCTGAATTGGGGGTCTGTATAGCCAAAAAGAAAGGTGATCATTATGGTTTAGATTGGAAATACATGGTGGAGGATACAAAGACTTTGAGGAGGATTCGGGAAATGCTTCGGGTGGAAGCGTACATCACTCTGACAGTCGTCGAGTTTGATGGTGGCTATACTTCACGGACAAACTCTATCGATTGGAAAGGTTATACATTGAAGGAAATGTCATGATTGGTAATGCAGTTTGTAGTTATGCTTGCAAATTATCTCATAGGGCGAAAAAAGGATCAGGTGGTTCACTTGCAATATGAGGCATTCGTGGCGCATCCTGGCTGAGAGCCTCTAAGCATCTGCCCGACATCTTCTGAGAACATCAAAAATGTACAGAACACTGTGGAGTAGACTTCTATCCGCTGGAAAGCTTATTTGACATGCCCTTGCCAACATACTTCTGCAATTTACCTCCTACTCTGGACAATGTGAGCTACCTACTCAAGTCTCTTTTGCAAGTTAAAACACATATTACATTTACACTAGATATGGGATTTGAATGGCATAGTGTTTGCTGGTCTCAACATCTCGCTTGAACATGGGATCTACGATAGGTACTGCCACTATTCTGCAGTCAATAGGATACTAACTCAATAGTAGTAGGCATGTCCGTTTCAAGAACATCGGCAGTTCGTCCGAGCCCGACCGAGATCGGAGGGATATCCCCGGGCCACAGCGCACGTAACACCGGGAAAGAGTGGATCTGCCCCTCCAAACGGCGCAAAAAGTGGGAAAATGCGCGCCTTATCGATAACATGTTTGACGAGTCACCTCTGTGCATGCATGCGCGAACGGCCCAAATTTTAATTGACTTCTCTTCAACACCATTCTCTTTTGCCAGCATTTTACCGCAGAGCCCGATTTTGTTCTTCAAGATACCATAATGGCGTTCCGTGCTCCTCTGCGACTCCAATTGGCAAAGTGCCAGCCTCGTCTGGCCGTCGCCTCGCGCATCAACTCCCGCGCACTCTCTTCTGCGGCCGCGGCCGCCACAAGCGACGTCAAGAGCAACTTCGGCGTAGGTGACCCCATGAAGTCACGAACTATTCGAGTAACTCACCACCAGACTGACACTGAAAATGAGCAGAAGCAGTCATCAGTACCCAACCCCGATCCCACCGAAGACTCCCCGAGCGCCGCTCTTGTCCGCGAACACGCGCCCTACATGGTCGCCACATACGCCCGCCCGCCCCCCGTCTTCGTACAAGGCCAAGGTTCTCTCCTGTGGGACGTTGAGGGCAGGAAATACCTCGACTTCACCGCTGGTATCGCCGTCAATGCCTTGGGACACTGCGATCCTGAGCTGACCCAGATTCTGACCGAGCAGGTGGGTAACTCCGAGCCGCCGTGAGTCATTTTAATACCAGATGCGCTGACAGTACATGGTCGGAACCTTACAGGGTAGCACGCTCATGCACGCCTCGAACCTCTACTACAACCCCTGGACCGGTGCCCTGTCCAAGCTGCTGATCGAGAAGACCCGCGAGGCCGGTGCCATGCACGACGCTAACTCGGTGTTCGTCTGCAACTCCGGCTCCGAGGCCAACGAGGCCGCCATCAAGTTCGCCAGGAAGGCCGCCAAGGTCAGCCAGCCCTCGGGTGACAAGTACGAGGTCGTCTCCTTCAACAATGCCTTCCACGGCCGCACCATGGGCAGCTTGTCCGCCACCCACAACCCCAAGTACCAGGAGCCCTTTGCGCCCATGCTGCCCGGCTTCAAGCTCGGAGCATTCAACGACGTCTCTGCCATCAACGAGACCGTCACCGAGAAGACCTGCGGTGTCATCGTCGAGCCCATTCAGGGCGAGGGCGGCGTCACGCCCGCAACGGACGAGTTCCTGATCGCCCTGGCCAAGCGCTGCCGCGAGGTCGGCGCCGTCCTCATCTACGATGAGATCCAGTGCGGCCTCTCCCGCACCGGCACCTTCTGGGCCCACACCCACCTCCCCAAGGAGGCCCACCCGGACATCATCACCACCGCCAAGGCCCTCGGCAACGGCTTCCCCATCGGCGCCACCATCGTCAACAGCAACGTCTCGGAGAAGATCAAGGTCGGCGACCACGGCACCACCTTTGGCGGCAACCCCCTCGCCTGCCGCCTGGCCCACAACATCGTCTCCCGCCTCGCCGACCCCGGCCTGCAAAAGGCCGTCGCCGCCAAGGCCGAGATCTTCAAGACCCGCTTCGACGCCCTGCGCGAGCGCTTCCCCGACCTGATCAAGGAGGTCCGCGGCCGCGGTCTCATCCTCGGTCTCCAGCTTACCCAGGACCCGACGCCTATCGTCAAGGCCGCCCGCGAGCGCGGTCTTCTCATCATCACTGCCGGTACCAACACTCTGCGTTTCGTGCCGCCATTGACCATCACCGAGAAGGAGATCCAGCAGGGTTTGGATATCGTTGAGGAGGCCATCTCCGTCACCCGCTCATGAGAGCGTGATGACTCACCACCCCACAACTTCATGTGATGAAAGGATGTTTCGATCCATGTAATTAATTTTCGTTCGGCGCCGGCGTTTAAAACCTGACGACACTTAGACCTAGATTCCAAGTAACGCAAAGCAGCGAAGCGTTGTAGTTCTGAAGAAGCAGTTGCTTTGAGGCTTGCCGTCTTGAGAGATGAACTTGCTGAAAGCTTGGATTTGTGCGATGAAAAATGAATGAAACTTTGAACTAAACAAAGTGTATCATGGCAAGGTGCCTCTATACTATCGGATCACTCCCTTCCTCCCCGTCTTGGTGATGACTTCAACTGCGTCTTAGGACTCGCTCCCATATATGAAATATGATCTTCCAGTGGCACCTTCCTCACTCAAGAGCCCTACCGCCGTAAAAGAAGCGGAAGGCGTAAGGGAGCAGACCTTCCCTCGAGAAGTCTCCACAACCGCTTTCTCACAGTATAAGATCCTCTCGATCTTCTAACCCTCTCTACTCTTCTTCCTCTTCAACAATCAGAGGGCTTGAGCACCCAAGCAGCCAAGCTTGGCCTTTTTATTGCAGGAAATTTCCCAGTTCCGAGTCTCATAACCCAAACTTTACCAGAACAACAAGCCTTCCTCCCGAGGCAAGGTATCATCAAATCCTGCCGGCACTTCCTATCTTCTACACGCGAAAGACGCGGCCTACACTCGCACCTATCAAATGTAAGAGACAGCCGACTTTGAGAGATCCCTGGTCAAACACACTAACGCATTTTGAAGATGGATAACGTATCCGAGGCAGAGGAACTGAAGCGATGGCTACACGAGATCAGAGGGCAGTCAAGCGATCGGCCTTACCGTGCTATGCACGAGGCCCTGGCCGATGATCTCATCACCGCTCTGTACGAAGACAACTCCGTCACGGTCGAAGAGCGCTGCGCTCCCGATGTCACGCTACTCGTGGATATCAAAGTTCCTGGCCAGATCTTCCACGGACTGGAAGAGGTCGCACAATACTTCGAGAGGAACCCCGGCATTGTGTCCGAAGAGATTATCATCGTCGATCGCTTTCGTATTACCACCGTGGTTGAGTTCATTCAGGAGCCCGGGAAATATATCAAACGTTTCAAGCAACGCAGACTCATCATCTTGGACATCAACAACGATCACAAGGTCATTCGTATCGAGATGAGACCCGTTGGTCCTAAGGAGTCAGTCGATCCGGATGCGCGAATTCCGTACGGTAGTCCAAGTATCTCAATTGACAACTCTCTCTGACGACTACAACATCAAGTTGCCAAGAGGTATATCAGGGAAAGGAGGCATATAGACGAGAGATTATTGAAAACGCGAGGGAATGGAACTATAGTTGAAGGGATCGAGACATGGGAAAATGGCATCCCAGGCAGATTAGTTCCCAATGATAATCTCACGCAGTTTTGAGAAGTTTCAAACTACTTTTAGCATTTACAGTCTCGTATCCCTAACTGACTTGAATATGAGAAAGAAGCTTAATTCCAGTTGTATGATGGTCATCTCTCTCGCTGAAAATGGTCACCGACGATGTTGGATCGTGCTGAATTGAGACCCAAGTAGGCCATCTTCGTTTCTTTAGACCTTACATTCAATTGTGAAAGATTTTTTCTTCAGCGCACTTTCTTGTTGTGGGCATGTCAACCTGTGGTAAGGCAGTGGTTTCGATGAGATCTACCCGTGGCTGATGGTTTTTGATGTTTACTGTGAGGCAAGCCTTGACGGAAGTGGTCACAGTTCTTTCCAAGCATCTCATATCATACAACAAGTATACCGAGCCAAGGCCGAAACTGTAAGTCTGGGGTATACACTGACTCCAAGGACCAACAGCAGTTGCTGGTCATCTTGCCTCACACCTCGGTGGACGGCAGGACTAGTGTAAGTTCCATGTCGAACCTCGGAAGGCGGTGGTCAACCTTGAAAGATGGGTCTCGGCTAAATTCCCCTCCCGTGAGGCGGGCCCGATCTTGCCGGATGCCCCTGCGTCCCCCACGTTTTGCCCCTCCTTCCACCTCACCTCACGCTCCCAAGGAAGGTACGTAGCTGCCAAAGCCGTTGGACTTCGGTGTGACGAAAGTCCTCTCGGTGGCCTCTCTTGGCTGCCCAGGAACTCTCCATCTTCATCATGCTTTTTCAATACAAGTCAACGACAATCGGCAGCGCCCGTCGACGCCTCGAGGCACCTGCCATGTCAAGACATCGATATCCGTAGAGCGGGGCTTTCTCAATAACCTCCAACTTACATGCTCCAACGAGCCTAGTTGAAGTCCCAGTCGATAACTATCGGGACAGCCATTACTCGGTCACAACTAATCATCTTGCCGAAACCGCCCCGTTGCGTTGATGAGGCGCCACCATACTGCCGAGAGTGATGCCGTGTCGTCGGGTCATCTCACCGCATCTTCCCCGAGCCCAAGTCCGGATCTTCGTCCAGTGCCTCTTCCGGTCGAGGGAGAGCATGATAAGACCAGCGACAGAAAAAAGTCGAGACGATCTTGGCAAAAGAGCCAGACGGCCAAACGGAAGGCCATCGAAATCCGACGGTTCAGCTGTCTCCCAACGCCAGTCTTACCTAAACGCACGTCAGCGGTCACCCTCGCCCTTGGTATCGATGCCACCTTTCCAGCCCTCCCTTCCTTCACTCAAGGAGGGATGATTCGCAACTTGACTGGAGCAAGAATGGGTCAAGACGAAGAAAAACGGCGGAAAAACATGGGACCAGAACAAAGCGCTGTCAGAGACCTGCCATCTACTACAGCCAAGCTCAACGGATACTTCCACTTCAGTCTACCACAGCGAGTTTTCCATCCCGCCATTCGCCCTAACCAGCCCCACCAAACCACACCAAACGTCAGTCGGTACATTCTGAAAAAGCTTGGGAGACCGTCGGTGTCCTCCCCTTCCGCTGGTGTTGCGCACAGCCCACCCTGTTGTTTCGAAACTCGTCCCCTCCCTCCCCCACAGGCAACAAGAGATCGGACCCAGCTTCACTCTTGAATCAGACTGTAGCCAATCGCAACCGGCCCGCACTACGATAATCCGCGCCGTTATAGGATTTTGTCTGCCCCGTCAAGTCGTCAACAGCACTTTTCAGCCCGCTTAAGCTGCGGGAAGGAAGTTTGGAACGCAAGGCACGCACACCAAGCTTTCGAGGGGTCCACCTGTTTGGCTCAGCTCAGCTTGGCGGACTACTCCTGACCATCATCATCATCTGCCGGTACCAGCGTACCAGCCAACGATTTCGAAGAATCAGCAGAGTCCGTTCCTGGCTCCCCCGTCTAGTGTCGGGATCAGGTCGATCCCACGTGAGGTCCCTGCCTCTGATCCGCCCTCTTTACCCCATTGGGATGAGGTTGCGGTACCTGAAGCCGTTGTGCTGCAGGAATGTCCAACACGGAATAGGCGAGGGAAAGAAGCTTAATGTCGCCTCCGTCTCACCGGCCGGCTAGGCGACTCGAGAGTAGAAACAAGGAAGATCTCACACTACCTCCGCTATAAGAGTGCAATGGTCGCCAGTAATCCCTTCATTTCATGTGACGACGACCAAGAACCTTGAATAGTTGTTGATCCAACTTTCAGCTAGCATCGGATAATCCAAATTCACTCCTTACTAATATTTTACCAACTACAATAATCAGTCCTTACAATACCAGCACACAAAATGCACAGCTCGACAGCAGCCTTCCTTCTCGCCCTGCTGGGCACGGCGAGTTCCTCCCCTCTCACGATCCAGCCCCGTCAGGCCGACTTCTCAGGGAATCAGCAAGATGGTCTCGCCGCCGGGTGCCAGTCCATGATCGTCATCTTTGCCCGCGGCACCACCGAGGGAGGCAACGTTGGGACCATTGCCGGCCCGCCCTTCTTCCAGTCCCTTGCGACTCAGGTCGGCGGCAGCCTTGCCGTCCAGGGTGTCGAGTATCCCGCCGATATCCCCGGTTTCTTGGCCGGAGGTGACGCCAACGGATCCCAAATGATGGCCACTCTTACTGAGCAAGCCATCACCAACTGCCCCAACTCGGCCGTCATCATGTCTGGATACTCCCAGGGTGGACAGCTCGTCCACAACGGTGCTGCGATGATGCAGCCTGACATGGTGGCCAAGGTTGCTGGTGCCGTTATTTTCGGTGACCCGCGTAAGTTACTTTCCATGAAGCCCTTTCACGGGTGCATGATAATTTTGATCTCAGTGCTAACGCATCTTCTTCACAGTCAACGGACAAGCTGTCCAGGGCGTGGATGCCGCCAAGACCAAGGTCATCTGCCACAACGGCGACAACATCTGCGAGGGCGGCAACCAGATCCGCCGCGCTCACTTGACGTACGGCAATGACGCTGATGAGGCTGCCACCTTTGCTGCCTCGATGATGCCGGCTGCTGCGGCCCCTGCTGCGGCTTGAGAGGGACCCCGGCAGCCTTCTCAGAGTTGACCTCGAAGGCTTTTCTTTTCCTACTCACACTCTCGTTGTATATACATATCGTAAATACTTTTTTGTGTGCACAAAAGCCCAAGCCAAACAGGTTGCACTCGCTTGTCTATCTACATAGTAGTTATTGTTTTGTGTGGAAATTTCTAATGTGGAGAGGAGGGGAGAAGCGTTTTCCTCGTCTCAGGAGCGAGGTGTTGGGGGCGGTTGTGATCATCATTGGCATAGCTTAGCATTTGCGTAGCCCTAGTAGTATACAATCTAGACCAATGTATTGTGCAATCAGATCTAGTGGGTTATTAGGTGACGGCAGTGGACATTGCACGCAGGTGTCGGCTCCCGTCACAGAGTGCCTGGGTGCTTCTTGGCCTGTTTCAGCGCCACGCCTGATTGAGACCAGACTCTTCATGCTGGGTGGCCTGGTGAGCAACACGACGACCCTTTGAGAAGTTCGGCAGTGCTTATGTCGATGAGCGAATCTTCCAGGGAATAAATACTATTGAGATTGTCACCTTCCATCCAGCTGTCGGGAATCATTATTGCTTCTTGGTGTCCTTTGCTCTGCCGCTTTTGTCGTAAGGCGTAGTCTTGCCAGTAGCTGATCAGAGATTGATGTCTCTACGTAGCAGCGCATGCGTATTATACCATGTGAGGGATGTCTTTCTTCCGTCGTTCTACGCCCATCGACCGTAGTAGGATACACGTCTCACTTACTATACTAAGACTTGGTCTCCGGCTGCTATCCTGATGAGACGATTTGAAGACGTGGTCGGACAGGTTAGAGTAAGAAGACGAAGATGAATATGGCCATCTTCGGGCGTTACTCATGACCTTGATATTGACTTGGGCGGGTGACTATACCATATTCAAGTCGAATCCCGCAGTACACCCTTCTCACCACCTATAAGCCTACCCAAGAACCTCTCTCCGCCTCAAATCTCGCGTTCATACCGGACTCCCCTTCTATCCTGACCCCGCGCACACAACCTCTCTCCCACCTCTATCCTGACCCCACGCATTAAACCTCTCTCTCTCCAACTTCACCTCTTCACCCTCACCCTCACAACACACTCCCACCCCTGCCCGCCAACACTCTTCATCCTCTCCTCATCCCAAACCTCCACATCCTCCGCAAACGACTCCAACGCGCCCCGGAAATCATCCCAATCCATTCTTGGACCGACGTACAGCACAGTCTCTACAGCAAACCCCTTCTCCCCGAAACCAGAACTGCTAGAAGCAAAGGCCTCCATGTACTTCCGCACCAGGGCGACTTGCTTCGGGTACACAAACATCCACGCCTTCGCTTCCGCCGCAGCGGGGTCGAGCGCCCACGTTCCTGGGACAGTGCGGTGGTTGCGGTGGTATTTATTTGGGGACGGGGCGATTTCGATGCTGGTTAGGTTGAGCTTCCGAGGGGCAGGCGACTTCTGAGAGACTTCTTGAGTGGGATCTTGGGCCTGGATATCGACCAGAGAGTCCAGCAGGGCCTCGACAAGCCCCGTCCCGCTACCGATCGAGAGGGTAAGCTCCGGCGTCGGCGGGAGTTGTGCGTGGAGGGCTTTTATGAGAGGGAGGGAGAGGGTCAGGCAGGAATCCGGGTGTCGTTGGGGTTCGTTTGTGAGGGGTGGGAGGGGCGCGGGTGTGAATGCTGGTGAAGGTTCTTCATCTTCAAGGAAGTCTTCGTATTCTGGATCTTCCGGGTTGACTGGCGAAGAGTCACCGGCAGAATTGTGTTGGGTGGTGGGCATGCCTGTTATTTTGATGGCGCGGGTGAAGTACACGGAGGTAAGGGCCGGAGGGGCAGGTACATGGAGCCGGGACAGGCGAGCTTCGATGAGGTGCATCCGTGCTGCACATCAGTTGAATCGGCCCCACCGAATCGCGGATCCACCAAACCTTACCTTGGGGCTAACCCAGATCTTAGTCCCGCGGCCCCTTCCGTGATGGGATATGATTACTGCTACGTCCAGCCTCATACGTACACAAAGCGTGGGAACCGCGTATTTTAAATACAAATGTAGTGTGTTGTTGCATTTCTCTTGCAAGCGAGATCTCGTCAAAGTCTACTTCAGTAAGGAAAACCATTCTATATAGAAAGGAAAAAAGAGTTCACCCCCCCGGTGCTGGACTGGGGGCTACATCTCTCGGTGCTCATGCTGGGACATAATTTCTGGTGCTCATGCTGGGACTCGAACTCGGGTACTCGCGTATGCGCTAAGCCTGTCGTCGAGTAAGGCTGGTTGGCGATTGTTGTTGACCATGAACCGCTCCACCACCCAGCCAGTTTGACCTGACCCGTCGACCTAGACGGGCGCCTGCTGGCTGGTGACGGGAACGGGGTTGAGGGGACCTATACACCCTTTGGCTTGTCGTGTATACCAAAGTTAGATATGTAATCCCGTTGGCAAAGATCTACAGCGACACCGGAAATAAATGTCCATTTCAATCAAATGTGTATTTCTTGAGAGACAAGCTAATGCGACAAAGCTCCAGAGGACCAAACACCGGTCCCAACTCCAAAGTCGCGACTTAGGCTCGCGAGAAATATGCAGCCCAGAAACCGTAGCCACTAATCCAGTTTACAGCTATAAAATGTACACTTTCCTCTTTCGTTCCCTGCCATCTCTTTTTCTTTTATAAGCGGACGCTGTGGACGAGGATTATCATCTCAGTTCTCACACCTAGACTGCACTGTATCCGCCCCGGCCACCGCTAGTGTTCACGGTGTTGAGCACGTTCCTAGTCCAGTCCTTCACCAGGTAGGGGATGTCGCGAATGGTGTCTCCGTGCGGCAAAAGATCCCAGCCCCTAGCACCGTATCGGTTGTAGTTCAGCCACGAGCCGAAGATGAGGTACGCAGCGATGCCGAGGAAAGCCCTGTAAAAAAGCATTGACGTTAGTCTGTGCGAAGATAAACCACCATAAAGATTCCGTCCAGACTTACAAGACAAAGAGCCAGGTGAAGAAGCCCCAGTGGCTGCTCGTGTCACCACCACCACTGCCACCCTCCGCAGGCGGCTTACCGTACGCGTCCTCGCACGCGTACTTGGTGTGCCACGTCAACCTCAGCACATCCATGTCGTTCTTCTCGTTCGGGCCGTAGCTGTTCCAGATCAAGGCCGTCCCGTTCAACAGAACCTGCTTCTCGTCGGGCGAGGGTCCGTCATCCTCGCCCTCCTTGCCCTCCTCGCGCGCGCGGAACTGGCTGCCGTCGTACTGGTCCTCAGGCTTGACCTCGCCTTCGAGGCCCGTCCTGTCACGGTCGCAGAGGAACTCGATGATGGCCTTTTGGTTCCGTCCGTTCTTACCCAGTGGGTACGAGCCTCCGTTGAGGATCAGGCGGACGCCCTCCTTCTTCGCGTCCGAGTTGGAGTCGCTCGACTTGAGTCGTTCTGCTGTGGCGTCCAGTTTGCTTCCGCCGTGGTCGCCAAGCTCGCCGGCGATGGGTATCACTTTTTCGACTTCGTCCTTCTTGTCGTCACCTGGATGAATGTTGCGTTCAATGGCACATACTGTCCAGACACGTTAGCTCTGTACTGGTCGAGCTTGCCACTCTCAACGATTTCGCGTGAATCCATTACCTCTTGTGAAACTGGGGCACTGCTCCTCCTTCTTGACGTCTCCTTTGCGCTTCAAGGGAGCACAGATATCGACGGTATAGGATGTGTTGGTGTACGTAGGAGGGTGCCACTGGCTGGTCACAACGCTGTGCGGTCCGCCTAGCGCCTCGAGGTTGAATGAGACGTCGTCCACTCGGATGTGTTTGCAATCGAGCATCGCGGCCGCCGGCAGAGGCGCCAACAGCAGTGCCAGCACAAAGGCTCCTTCGGCCCGCGGTAGTCGAGGGAAATGCATCGCGGGAGATCCGGCCAAGCGTTTCTCTCGGGGGGCCGGATGGGAAACGGGGGACCGTCTGAGCTTCGATGGGGATTTCGGGGAGAGGCGGATCTGCTGCGGATCACGAAAGCTTAGCAAGCGACAGCTGCTGCAAGGTTGCGTAAAGTATTGCGAGAAGAAAAAGGGGAGTAGTTAAGAAAAAGAGTAGTTTTGTACGTAATGAGTGTGGTTCTGGAAGCTGGGTAGGCAACAGAAAACTGGCAGGTCACGGCGTGTCGCTCATGTGGCTTGGAAGGCCGGAGCAAGTGGACTGTGGCAGCGGGTGGATGACCTCGTTTTGGCTGCTGCTTGGGAGAATGGGACCTGACCGTTTTGGCCAGGCGGCATTTAGCTCGTTGCATCATCGTCATGCCGAAGATCTAGCGAATCACGTGCACCGGCCATGCCTGCATGGGGTAACTTGGGAAATGGACAACAAGCACGGATCTGGCCGCACTGTCATCCATCTGTGTACTCCGTACATAGGTAGCTGACATAAGCCAGCACTGCATCCTCAATCTCACGTTGGCATACCTTGGCCCACCTCGGCCACAGCTCATCCTACGCATTTGATATTCGTTGATATCTATTAGTCCGCACACGTAAATACTCACTCAGGTTCAGCAAACTAGGCAGCTTGGCAGGGCCAACATCACTCAACACATCGATCAAGCACCGAAGCATGGAAAACTGATTTGATACTCTGTACATCAAATGATACATGAGCTCGCTTCCGCAGAGCCTTGAACTGCTCTGGTGGTATGCACCATTCCCTTCCCTCCTCCGTGACCCGTGAAAAGCAGTTGCCGTCCATCCCTGACCGCACCTCGAAGGATAAGGTAAGTACGCCTTCGTAGGGGTATATAAGACCATGAGAGATCAAACAGCCAATCCATCCCTAAAGTCCCCAGACGCCAAAGTACCGTAAAAGACGCTCACAACCCATTCCGTCCTCGCCATAGTCTCCTAATGATTCATTTCACTCCCCTCGACATGCCCGCAGCGTTAATCAGTAACGCGATATGTGGCGGCACGTCTCATCTTGAACCTAACTCGCGATTGCCAGTTGAAAGCCGATTTGATTTGCGACATGTCTGGCACGTGCTCATGTGCCCTACGGGGGTCGCTGAGCCCACCAGCACCAGGGTCGGAAACCGGGCGAGTCCTACATGCCGTGAGGTCCCATCATGCCGCCCATGCCTTGCATTTGTTGCTGTTGCTGCTGCTGCTGTTGCTGCTGCTGCATCATGACCTGATGAGCCCTGCGCTGGGCAAGAACGCTCTGAATCTGATTCTTGGCCTCCATCATGCAGTTTCTCTTGAAGGCTTCCATCTGCTCCGGTGGAATATTCTCAACGGCACCACCCCACTTAGCGGCAAGATTGGCGATCTGCTTATTGTATATCGCTTGCCCTTGTAGTTTGACTTGGTTCGTCAATGCGTTGTTGTTGTTCATTGCTTGCTGCTGCTGCATCTGCATCATAGCCTGCATATTCATGTTCTGGCCATTCATCATGTTCTGGCCACCGCCGGCCATCTGGCGCTGCATCGGGTTCATTTGCGCCTGGATTTGCGCTTGAATTTGTGCTTGCATCTGCGGCGTCATCTGGCCACCATTCATGTTGTTGGCGCCCATCTGGCTGAGCTGCTGAGCGTATCTCTGCGCCAGTTGCTGATTCATCATGTTGCTCATGTTGCCGCCCATGTTGCCGCGTTGTTGCTGCTGCTGTTGCTGCTGCATCATGAGTCTGTGCTGCATTTGCTGCTGCATATATTGCTGTTGCTGAGGCGTCATCTGCTGAGGGTTCATATTGCCGTTCATCATGTTACCCATGCCGTTCTGCATCGCAGCAGCCATTTGCTGCTGCTGAATGGCTCGCTGTTGTTGGGCAACCTGTGCAGCAATCATATTGGGGTTATGCCCAGCTTGTGGCATAGCACCGGGCGTTCCCATCATGACGTGTTGGCCCATTTGAGAGTTCGACTGCATCATGTTGGGAGGTGGGCTTGCCTGATTCATACGAGGCGTTGCGGCCACTGCCGGGCGAGGCACGGGCGTTCCCTGCATGTTTGGCGTACCGTGCTGGATGCGCGGGGTGGCGGCTTGATGACTCTGTTGGCTGGCGCGAGCAGACATGCTGTGCGCCATTGGGACCCCACCAACGTTGGGTGGGTGGCCTTGGACGGCTGATGGCGGGCGTGGCGGGCTGTTGGCCATTTGGGAGTTGTTCTGCTGCATAGGCACAGCACCGGGCATGGGAGATGACATGCTGTGGGGTGTGCCCTGTCTGACGACGGGAGACACTGGTGGCTGCGATGCCTGAGAGAAGCGTGCCTGAGTCTGGGCCGGAACGCCATTTGGCATCGCACCAGATGTACCGTTTGGCATAGCAACGTTCGCTTGCTGCTGCTGTTGCTGTTGCTGCTGCTGTTGCTGTTGTTGCTGTTGCTGTTGTTGCTGCTGCTGCTGCTGTGCCAGATTTGCCGCCGCAGCGTTCTGGCTGTTCTGAGCGGCCTGGTTCGCAGCAGCCTGTGCGGCCATAGCCCGTCTTTGGGCCTCTCTCTGCTGCTGTTCTTGGCGAGCTTTGAGTTCCTGAGCCATTTGATGTTCGCGCCGCATCTTCTCCTGTTCCGCCTGGCGCTGTGCCGCAATGACCGCTTGCTGTTCCTGCATCTGTTTTTGCTTCTCTTGTGCAAGCTGGCGTTCCTTCGCGGCTGCTTCGACCTTCTCTTGCTCCTTTCTCTCCTCGTGCTCTCTCTTGATGTCAGCAATGACCTTGAATCGCTCGAATCTTGGCTCAAATGTAGACACAACAGCCTGGCCTTCTTTGTCCGCTCCGTTGGCCCCGCCTTGGGTGCCATTGGCAGCCGAAGAAAGACGCTCGTCCAAGATAAGCATGTATCTTTCCTGTTCTGCTGCGGCGGCCTCGTCGGCAGCCATCTCGGCGACGGTTCTCTTGCGAGTTTTAGGTTGAGGGGGCGAGTCTGAGTGTTGGGGGTGCGCCAACGCATCGAGCAAAGTAATAGTCTCTTCAGTATCTCGGGTTGGCTCGAGAAACAGGGGAGCGTTGGTCGCAAGCAAAATCTGTGATTCTGCTTGGTATATATTACTTCCATCAAGCTCCATGCGCTCACGCTTCTGCTTCTTGGCGGGAGGAGGCATGCTGCCTGCAGTAGGAGTTGGGGGCACCATTGTAATCGGCGTTGATGGAGGTACAGTGCCAGTGCCTTCCACACTTCCTGCTGCGCCTCGAGGTGTTGCAGCCTTGATCATCAGGTCTGCGTGGAGGCTTTCAGGCGTAGGGTGAAGTACGACAGTGAAGGTCTTGGGCTTTGACGGTATCTTGCTCTTTTGGCCTTCACCAGGCAGACTGGGTGCCGGCATGCTCTGCTTATCCTTCTCCTCTGCAGTTTTGGGTTTCGTGTCTTCCTGTGTAGCTGATGCAGCATCGGGCTGCGCACCGAGAGACTCCTTAGGATACGGAACGTATGGTGAAGGTACGATATATGGGTTGTGATTATGAATCGAGGATGGCACAACCTTGCTCGAAGCCGATGTCGGTCGCTGGACTTCCTTGGATTGAGCGACAGACTTGTGATCGTGCACCTGAACAATCAAGCATCCCTCGTAGAAAGGGACACCCGCTTCTGAGAAGTATTCGATGAGATCGTGAGGTACCGTGCGCTCGCGCAAGTGCTCCAAGAACAAACGCATCGGCGACTTGTATGGAAATATTCCATCTTGCTGATCAAATCGGAAATGCGTTGCGTGCATGTGTACGACGAGGGAAGGTGCGTTGCCTGCGAACTTCTTCAAGATGTATTCATCCGTTACAACTATATCCTGTCAGCATTGGCGTCCATGATGATTGCAACAAGTCTACAATCTACTAACCATATGGTAACGGCTCCGAAGGCTGGGCGGCTGCCGTATCGCCGACGAGTGACGCCGATCGGAGTCCCACACTGTTCCTAGAAATGCGACTGCCTTGGGCCGACTGTTCACGGCGCGTGCGATTGATAGGCCGCGCTGATTGCGCATTCGCGCCATTCGTTGTCGCAGAGTTAGGAGGCTTCTTTGTCGACATCGAGGGCGATGGCGATGATCGGATAGAGCTCGCTCCATTGGTTTGGATACCGGGGGGTACGGGACGCTTAATCTTGGACGCGACAGAAGGCGGCTGGATGGCCGTCACGACTGGCGCCATTTTTGCCGGATGAGGCGGCTACCGGAGCGCAACAGGCCGGAAATGGCGTCGCGAGGCTATTCTCCCACTGTCGAATGATGCCCAGAGTTGTGTTACAGAGCAATCATTGAATGAGATATTCGGCTCGTCGGTCGTGATGGGGTTCGTTACGGGGGTGGTCGAGTGGATGATGCGCGTTGACAGATCGGGTGACGTCGACGTGGAGCAGGGTAATTGATGTCGAAGGCGCGGTCGCAATTGTATCGAATATATCCTCGGCGGAGGATCAAAAGGTAACGAAGTTAGAATTCAGGAAAAAGACGACGGAAAGATGCACAACAGCCCTGATGGATGGATTCCAAGCGTGTGGGGTTGGGATGTAGTCAGGCTTCCGCGAGACCTGTCGGAGAAAGGTCCAAGGAGGAGCCGCCGCAAGTCTCCGAGACGGAGACGCGGGCGTGGAGCAAAGCAGAGCCTCAGGCAAAACCCCGGATAGGCGCTCGGATCACAGTACTGGTACAGTGTGTAGACGGTACGTACTCCAGCATCCAAAGATATTGAGAGTATCAAGCCTCGAAATGCACTGCTGATTTGTCTAAATAGTGAATATGAAGCTACAGCAATAGGTATATGCCAATTAAAATCAAGCTGCTGGAAAAGAGTAGTCTTCTTAGTCAGATTTACTCTGACTATATGAGCCCCATCCTCATGCGTAGGTCAGGAGTGAATTTTTTACTCTTTTTCTTTTAGTTGTTTTTAAGATATTGTATCACAACAGAAATATCATGCCTCATGCAGTCTCCCACGCCAGAACTTCATGCAAGAGGCCATGTAGGCGACAATTTTGGAGATAGTATGGATGTTTAAAGGTCGAAATAGTGTGACAAATCATATTCATCACGTTGCAAGTAATATTTAGGGGCTTGTCATCAAGATAATGCACTATCAAAACACTTTCATCTCGCGTCGCAACGGTCAATTACCTATCTGCTCATGAAAACGTTACATGATATCTCGTGGTATATACCAATCCAATAAAAAACACACATTTCATACCCGTTCTTTCCTCCCATGAGACCAGATTTCCCTTATTGGAAGTCTTCGTTTATACAGTGGAGAGAATATTTACTCCTTGCCCTGGACACGGCGGGCCCAGTCGTCATGGACCCGCATGCCGTCAACGACGACAACGCCTCGGCCACGTCCCACGCGGTCCGATCGCTGCCACCACTTTTCTTCCTTGCCAGGCCTCTCTGCCTCAGACTCGCTATCAGCAAGACCACCGCCACCACCCTCGGCACCCACAACAAGGATAATATCGTGGCGCAGCCAGGTCTGGAGATTGGCGACCATGGCGCCGTTGTCGCCTGCAAGAGACTCCTGGAGATAGATGATCTCGGGCTGGAGATGGCGAAGAATATGGGTGTGCCCGTTGGCCGTAGTGAAAGGCATCACCATGGTCTCCTTCTCAACCAAAGCCAATGCCTGGGAGTAAACGGCATTGAAGGCAGGGTTCGCAGGCGAAGGGTTCATCAAGGGGCTCTTGGATGACTCCTCACCAGGCGTCTGGGCTTGATGGTGCTCAATGTTAGAGAAGGACGAGCTCAACGACGGTGGCGGAAGGTTACTAGTAGACTCGCCCGCCGTCTCTTTAAGACCCGGCGCATAGATCAAAACGAAGAGCTTGATGTCGTTGAAGTTGGTGTAGCGTGGGATATGCGACAAAATGGACTGTAAAGGAGTCAGCGAGGCGCTTCGGAACCTATGGCAATTAATGAGATGGGCTTACGGCGTGTTCATGGAATCCATCTTCGTCAAAGTCGTCACCATGGCTGTCCGCGGAAACCACAATGGCAACAGTCCTTCGTCGCTTGCTGGGGTCTCTAGGCCCGGAAGATCGTTCCTTTCTGGCATCCGCTTCTTCGGACCATGTCTCATGGTCAGCGTACGCATTCTTGTCCTCTTCCCTGATGGCGGCCAATGCCCTACCGGCTGCAGCGCCGGCGGCGGCGAAGCCAGCAGTCACTGTCTTCCCGGCAGCATCGAAGAACTGCTGGGGGCTGGGCGTGCGCCTCAATGCGCCAGACATCCTTGCTCCCAGACCATCCCCGGGTGCATCTCGGGGTCCTTCGGCCGTGCCGTATGTTTCGGTTCCGACGTTGCTGGATGGGGGTTTGGGTCTTCTGGAAGTACCATACGCAGGATTGTCGCCATAGTTTGCATTGTCGTAGTCGAGGTCGGCGTACTGCTCGTTTTCGGGCGTATCGTCCTCATCTTTGCGCTGACTCCATACCCACGCTGCGATGCCGACTGTCGCGACAGTCACAGTAACTGCAAGCGGCACCCAATGGCTCCAAACCCCTCGCCTCCGAGAATTCTGATCGTTGGGCCACGACATTTAGTTGGACGCAACCATTGCACTTAGGCACGTAGCCTAGGTATATATAAGATGTGGGTTTGTGTAAATACAAGGTACTCGAACTTATCGAGTTTCGTCAAGCGATTCGGGCGGCTGCGTCCGTGGTCGGGCTGGGTTTGTCTGTGAATTCGCTAATGGTATCGCAATCGTCGGTGTTGAGTCGTGCTTCGGCTCTCGATGTTGTCAACAGACAGGAAATCGCAAATTGGGGGGTGGGCTATAGATCACCCACTTGTCGCGAGCTCGGGTGGCTGGTCTTGGGGGAACATCAACATGGGGGAATTGAATGGGCAAGGAGCTAAGGCCCAGGGGGGATCCCGAGGTTGGCCGTGTTGCCATTGGTTGCCGGGCCAAAATCTCTCACCTGGCCCTCCTGCCCGTCAGCCAAGGTGAGCAGCCGCCAGCCGGACCGAGGATATACCGACAATCACGTGCACCATCCCACCTTGATGCGCGACGTCAATAGTGGGTCCCTGCCGATTGGTCGCGGGTCGTTTTTTGGCGATGACTCCTTCAGCGCGCAGACAAAAATATCAAGAAACGGGTTATTGAACCGGCATTGGTGTGGGCATTACAGAACCTTAGCTTCAACTAGGCCCGAGACGAATCGATCTTGCATCGCACATCTCAACAGCCCAGTTTCTACGCTCTCACACCCCGGCATCTCTTGCTGCAGTCACTTGTCGCAATCGAGATACCCCGCCAAATCACTTCGAGATGCCCCACGCTGTGTCGATGCCCTCACCAGGGCTTCAAGCCTTGGTCCTTTGCGGCCCGGGATCCTCGTTCCCGACCTTCACCTCGAATCCCGATGAGAACCCCAAAGCGCTCTTGCCCATTGCTAATCGGCCCATGGTCTGGTATCCCGTCGATTTCTGCTATCGTATGGGCATCACAAGTAGGTGCTTCGTTCGTTGCTGGGCTCATCATGAGCTCTCACAGTAGCCATTAGTCATGGACATTTTGAGGCTGACTACTGTAGACATTACTCTCATCTGCCCGGCATCTGCAGAAGCAGCAATGACCACTGCCCTGAACACCAACCCTCACTTGACAGCACTTCCCCTGCCGAGACCAGACATCCTTGCTCCTAAGGAATTGGACCAAACCACAGGTACGGCTGAGATCCTCCGCCTGCCTGAGGTCAAGGAACTCGTCAAGTCCGATTTTGTCGTTCTTCCCTGCGATCTCATTTGCGAGGTCGCCGGCGAGAAGCTGCTGCAGGCATGGATGGTCAAGGGCGCAAGCATGTCAGACTTGCTGAGTGCGCCAAAGTATTCAGGAAGCAGACAGAGCCCCTTCAGCGGCGGTTTGGGTGTTTGGTACGAGACGAAGACGGCAACTCCGGTCAAAGGAGAGGAGACGGACTTCATCGCAGTAACACCGTCGACTCCCTCCCCCGTTGCGCCCCCTAAAGGATCTTTACTCCCTAACCTCTCCAATCTGGTGACGTCTATACCCACAGACTCGCTGAAGGATCTCATGGAGACACGGAGAGGCTTCGCTGTTCGTCATGGTCTCCTGCGCAGCCATCCTCGGCTGAAGATGCTCACGACCCACAGAGACGCGCATTTGTACATTCTACCAAGATGGATCATGGACTTTGTTGACAAGAATAATCGTTTGGAAAACATCGGCGAAGATGTCATTGGCTGGTGGGCCAAGGCAACCTGGCAGAAGGGTCTTGCGGAAAAGCTTCAACTGGACGAGGTTCTGCGTAAGGAAGAGGCAGACGACAGCGACGACGATGATTCACTGCAGGAGAGCGCCTCTTCGCCCCAAGACGAAGATCCTGAAGAGCTGCGACCCAGCAGAGGCATTGACGATAATGCTCTCGATGGTAAAGACTTTGACGGCACAAATCCTAAGGGATCTTCGCTCAACGTACCACCGATTATCGCATACGTACATCCTTCTGGAGCCGACGCACCCATGATACGCCGTGTAGACACAGCTCAATTACTCCTAAACGTATCACTACAACTTGCTAAGGTTCCCTCAGTGGAAGAGACTGGTAGCGAGGCCGCATCCCCCTTCGCACACGCCAAAAAGGTGGCGTACCCTGAGGGCGTCAAGGGCCGAACGACAATCACCAAGGCCGACAGCTTGGTCGGAGAGAACGTCACAGTGGAAGAGAAGGTGGCCATTAAGGAGTCCGTTGTCGGAGCCGGCTGCCAGCTCAACGAGGGTGCCAAGCTGTCACAGTGCCTACTGATGGAAGGCGCCGTGGTGGGCAAGAACTGCAAGCTTACGAGATGCATTCTTGGCAAGCGCTGTGTCATTGGGGACAACTCAGTCTTGACAAACGTCGAGGTTCAGGAGAACTTGCTGGTTGAGGCCAGGAGTAAGTCCAAACCATGTCCCACATAATACATGATAATAGCTGACCATGCCCTAGCTGAGGAGAAGGACACGAAACTCATGAGCTCCGATGGCTTGGAGGCTACCGAGGAGGAGATGCAGGGAGTGTTGGAAGACATGGACAACGAGATCATGGCCCAGAACGAGGAGGCAGTGGAATAAACTTCAGGCCCTTTTTCCGTCGATTATGCTTCGCTGCAATTCTGGACCGAGCCCCTCTGCTGAATTTTCTCTGGTGATCCATCGTATTCTGCCCTGCGCTGACCTACGCCAAACTAGAATATCATATACGCTACCCGGATGAGCTGACAGTATTGGGAACGAGAACTTTCCCCTAGCCACCGTGGAGGATGAACCAGTGTTCACTAGGCCGAACCCGCGGATGAGGGACGGAGGTGGACAACTGCCGGCAATGCGGGATCCCCGACAAAGTCCGGAGGCGAAACGACGAACAATCAGTAGGTACTCGAGGGCACCCGTCGTCCTAGTCGAACTCTACTCTTGGTCCGGTGGGAACGAGAGGATCCATCAGATACCTCGGGGAAGATGGACAGTAAGCCGGCAGACATTCAGCAGAATCGCGACGGCGGGCTGGAAGAGCAAAGCCCACCCCGCGGAAGCAACGGGAGCCAGGAACCGCTCTCACCCGTAACGAACGAAGTGGAACCTTCGCCCGCCTGGTCCACGACAATGGCATTCCTGAAGCTCGTGTAAGTCCCCAAAAGGCTCTAGCCAGCTCGTCAGGGGCGATTGTCTTGGAAGCTTCTGGCTCGATTGGGAATTCCAGAGGGGTTCGAAGGGCGCATTCTAGCAGGTCTTGTTCAGCGAGCAAAAAAGAGGCGAAAGAGGCTTTTCGTGTGTGGCCTGACTGCAGTAGCATATGTAAACTAGGGAGCTGGTGAGCCTTTCCAAAAGGCACGAAGTGGAACGACTTTCTCTTCGGACACGATGGGACATCAGACGAAGCTTGCCAATAGCTTGCAGAAACCACGGAAGAGCGTCCGAAAACCCCTCAATTGGAACGGTCCAAGGTAATGGTTTCATCCCCAGAGTTTCCCCTCTCCTTCCGGATAGCTGCAGAAGAGGGCGCAATCGCGAAGAACATCCTCCCCCTTGATCTCCTAACGCCGGGTATGGTGGACGAGCTATTTGCCCATAACCTCTTTTCTACAATGGACGCCAGGGGCAAGAGACATCCACATAGACTCACACACACACACACCGAGCGAGAAAAGCGCGAGAGATTCGCGGCGAGAGTGGGAGAGATGGGACTTCGGGGAGGGCCTCTGTAGAATCAGCCCATCTGCCAGGGGCAAACTGACTCTGCAAGGATCACCAATATTGGGGCCACTCGAGAGGCCCGAGGAGAGACATTCAGCAGATGATGCTACGGTCTAAGCGGGTCTAGCGTGTCCTCGATGTTGATATCGGGAATTTGGCCTGCTGCATATGGCACTTTGAGAAAAGTGACAGGTCACAAAAATCCTCGGAACATTGTCATCTGCTCGTCCCAAGTTGGCGGGATGGGCACTTCGCCGAACTTACTTACACTGACCTTGTCTGGACCGAATGCTCAAGGGGGGCCGAAGATGTGGGCAAACGATGTGGGCAACAGTCCATTGAGTGTGTGAGAGAGTGAGGGGCCAAGGGCAAGCAATGATGGGACTCTAGTGTAGCATCCGAATCGCAAGTGCCTTGTGGTAGTACAGAGATCGATTTTGAGTCCAGGCTAACGGGGTTCAATCCGAACCAGACGACGCGGCGGCGGCGGGCGGATGTGGGCAAAAAAAAAGAGGGGTCCAGGGCAAGAGGGACTTGATACGGTAGTTACGGACAAGATAGAGCTAGAATGCTAGAGAGCGAGAGAAAGAGAGGGACAGGCAGGAAAGAGGGTGGCCGAGCGAGACCGACGGCCCAGCTCCGGCCAGGAACGCGGGTTACGCGGGCCACGATGGTGAGACCCCTCCAAAAGCCTGCGTCGCTCGCGCGAGAGTTGTTGCGTTCCTCATGAGAAGTCGTGGCAAGGCGAAAACTTCTCTTACTTGTCTTTCCCTCTGTCTATCTACCTTACGTTGGAAACACAATGGGAGAGACCTCCCACGCGTCATGATTGGGGGGCGGGCGTTTTCTTACACATAACAAGGGAAAAGGGGGCCAACGTGAGCATTCCTCTCGCGTGTGCTGAGGATCAAGAAAAGTAACGAAAATTATGCTGCGTGAATGTGATTCTGTGTGTGTGGATGGAGTTCTTGAAGCCTCACACAAGACTTCTCTTGCAAGGCCAACGCCAAAAACAGACAGGTCTCGTTTGACACGCGTTGTGGGAACTCGACAGTGTCTACGAGACTATGAGAAGGGCAAAAAAGAGGAGAGTCAGACTGCGGAGCGGCGAAAGCCGCAAAGAAACAGACAGATAGACCTTGTGGAAAGTCAATTCGTTTGAACCGGTAGTCTTGTATCACTTCTTCCCTCCCCTCCTTCTCTAGACTCTCTTGTACGGTCGTGGTGGTGGTGGACTAACGGCCGAAGGTTGCTAGACTGCCCTTTTTTCCCTTGGCTGCCGCCTCTGTTCAAGGGACACGAAACATGGGCCACTAACGTCGGAGGCGCGGATGGGG